GGATTAGTACGTAAAGTACGACGAGTGAATATGATAATGTTGAATAAGTTTCCAAATGTACCAAGAATAATTTGAAGAAGTGGAATAATCTGATTCATCCACATAGTGGCAACATTTAATTTGTTGATAAAATCAATAGTTGCAGATGACATTATAAGCAAATATAATACGTATAGTTGATTTTACTATAATAAATCAAATACAATTATTTCTAATCGATGAATGTAGAAAAATCTCAATTATTAACTACATTTCTTTTCAAATAATATACTTTTCTCAAGTAACAAATGACTAACTAGAAATACGCTATTACTTTAAGATCTGAATAAACAATAATTAACTGGTCGTAGAGAATTGCAAAAAGAGTTCTATTCATTATATGATACAAATGATTTATAGCGATTTCATCACGACTATAGATAATATTTGTCTGTTCTAGATTTTGGAAATTTTCACTAAAAAAAACACTTACCTGTTAGAAAAATATATTTAATCTGTCACTTGACGTTGTCAAAATATAATATATAATGATCCAGTTTTATAGGGAAACAATTATTTATATAATACCATAAGAATCTCGTGTTTGATCACAAGACAGAGCCGTCGACATTTATTTTCATTATCTAAATATAAACTATATTTATTACAAGCCGAAGAAAATAAATTGAAAATAAGATTATTTTTGATATACATTATCATAAAAAATAGAATAATCTTATTATAAAAACAGAATATGATCACATGAGTTGAGTTAAAAGACTGCTATTTAAGAATTCATCTACCATTCAATAATTATGTATCATAATATCATACTCAAATGTTTATAAACAGAATCAACAAGTCATATGACAAACTATAATTATCGAAAATCATTAATACAAAACAACGTTATAAAGATGAAAAGTTAATCTGTAATCTTAGTAGAAACTGAACTAGATAGAAACATCTATCTTATTTGACGTTCATTCATACACATTTTCAGAGTCAGGTATTTTAGTTCATTGAGATCGAATGAATTCAATAATTTTTCACCACATAATGAACATGTAGGTGAGGCTTTGAATAAATGTACCTATTGGTCTTTTATTCATCCATTTTACTTATCTTTAATAAATTCATGGCTATCTTTATATTACACTTAGATTATCACTTTAGTTACAAAAATATTTTTTCTCGATTCTCTATTTGCTTTGAAAAAGAATTTTACACCAAAGAAAAATTTATGCAAAAATTTGACTTCCAACGATATTAACTATTTCTCTCTTTTTTTGGTACACATGATTATAGTCTATAAAGTATTTTAAAAGATGCTTAAATATTATTATATAATGATTAAATAAGCGCAAAAAAAAATAATGTCATTAAAAGTTATTTTATAAATGTAGTATAGTAAAGTCAATAATATTGTTCGTATTATTTGAATATACGAATGGAATATATATGAGAAAATGCTTTGAAATAATATAAAATATAAATGCTGAACAATGTTAAAAACATGTATTGAATGCCAAAATAGATAAGTTTGAACATAATAGTATGTTGTTTTAAGAAATGAATTGAAGGATGTAAACCTTCTGTCATCTTGGTTTCAAATGGATCATAATCATCACCATAATACCATCGCATTAAACGATAATAAACACGAATGGGTGTAAAGAATCGTTGAAGAGTATTTGGTGATACTCCATAACTAAATAAAAAAGTTAGATTTATACAATGTTTTTTTCTTATAACTTCTTACCTGTCTGCAAAAACAGAGGTTGATATATTATTAACAAATAAATATCCACTTAAAGTCAGTGGTGAAAAGAATCCAACACGTGGACTAGTTGTAATATTTTTTATTTCGATTTTTTGATTGAATATAAATAAACGATGTCGTAATGTTACTTTTGAAGCACGTAAAAATTTGATTTGATTTTTTTCTTGATCATACACAGGTATATTATGAGATTTTGTAAGACTAATATAATGTCCATCAATTGTTTCCATTGTATAGAATATTTCTACAATATTATAATAGAAAATAAAATAAAATAATATGTTAAATAGTAATAACCTGGTTTATTTGGTTCATTGTGCATCATTAAAATAATTTCATCTTCTATGAATGTATCTCCATTTGAATTAAGTGACCAAATCCGATCTCCCACTTTTAATTCTTCAATAGAACGTTGTCCACCACCTATGAGATTTACTTTATCTTGGCCATAATAACAACCACCGCCGTTATGTTCTAAAATAAAAAATAAATTCTTTCGATATGTCATCAATGTTATTCCTAAATAATTTAATATTAAATGTTTATCGTCATAATATTACTAATTAGATTAATTTTATTTCATACCTTGTCTGTGTCCACAATCTGAACCAGACCATTCTGATAAACATGAACACACACCGGGATTGATACATTGACCACCGTTTCTACAAGGGACTTGACAAATAGCTAAAATATAAGAACTCAGTAATACATGAAATAACAAAAAACGTCAGTCAAAAGCATTTTTAGTTCAATTATTTTATTTTTGAAAATTAACACGTACCAGTGGTACAATCGCTCCCCTGCCAACCTGATTTGCACGTACACACTCCAGGTCCTGTGCAAGCACCATTATTCGAACATTGTTGACAAATGGCTAAAATATAAGAATTAATTAAATCTTGACTACACTAGAAAGTTTTACGTACGTGTTGTACAACCTTCGCCTATCCAACCGGATTTGCATGTACAAATTCCCGGACTAGTACAAACACCATTGCTTGAACAGCTTTGGCAAATAGCTAAAGTACAGAAATTCATATGATAAATAAAATCATAAAGCAATTGTGAAGACGTCATTTAACACTGCATATGAGTGTTAAAGTTTTCTGTTCATTTTTCGCTTCATGAGAGACTTTTACTTACGTGTATTGCAGCTAGAACCTTGCCAACCACTATTACAGCTGCATTGGTTTGGCGATACACATCTTCCGTTGCTTGAGCATTGTTGACAAATTGCTAAAGTACAAGAATTTATATCAGTATTGTAGACATTTTCATCTAATTTTCATTTCGAATGAGATGTCTACTTACGTGTTGCACAATCAGAACCTTGCCAACCCGAATTACATGTACAGACTCCAGGTCCTGTGCACGCACCATTACCTGAGCATTGTTGACAAATAGCTGAAATGTAAAAATTTATAGAATAAATTAAATCATGAAATGATTAAGCACTAAAGCATGTTACATACGAAGTGAGCAATCGTTGCCCATCCAACCTGTCTTGCATGTACATACTCCTGGACCAGTACAATTACCATTGCTTGAACAACTTTGACAAATAGCTAAACAAACAAATTCATTCTTGTTTTATATAGCATATTGACATACGTGATGCACAGTTTGATCCCTGCCAGCCCGAATTACATGTGCAGATGCCTGGTACCGTACAATGACCGTTGCTAGAGCATTGTTGGCAAATAGCTAGTTTATATAATGATTAAAATTATGAGTTGATTCAAAAACCATCCTTCGATACTGCATGTGAGTATCGAAAGCATTGATAATTTAATACTTACGAACTGAACAGTCGTTGCTCATCCAACCTGATATACACGTGCAAACTCCTGGACTAGCACAGTTGCCGTTGCTTGAGCAGCTTTGGCAAATAGCTAAAATAGAAGAATACACATGATAAGAATAGAATGGTTGCACACTCTTTCTTAAATGATTAAACGACTTTACTTACGTGTATTGCAGTCAGAGCCCTGCCAACCAGTATTGCAACTGCATTGGTTTGGTGACACACATCTTCCGTTACTTGAGCATTGTTGACAAATTGCTAAAGCACAAGAATTTATATCAGCATTGGAAAAGTTTTCGGCTAATTTTCATCTCATATAAGACGTCTACTTACGTGTAGAACAGTCGGAACCTTGCCAGCCCGAATTGCATGTACAGACTCCAGGTCCTGTGCACGCACCATTATTCGAACATTGTTGACAAATAGCTGAAATGTAAAAATTCATATAATAAATAAAATCACAAAATGATTAAGCCCAAAAGCTTGCTACATACGAAGTGAGCAATCGTTGCCCATCCAACCCGTTTTGCATGTACAAAGTCCTGGACTAGTACAATTACCATTGATGGAACAATTTTGACAAAAAGCTAAACAAACAAATTCATTCAAGTTTTATGTAGTATAGTGACATACGTGATGCACAGTTTGATCCTTGCCAGCCCGAATCACATGTGCAGACGCCTGGTGCCGTACAATTACCGTTGGCGGAACATTGTTGGCATATAGCTAGAATAGAATAGTTTATACAATCATTAAAATTATGCGTTGATTCAAAAATTGTCTTTCGATACTACATGTGAACTTCGAAAGCAGTTATAGTTTAATACTTACGAACTGAGCAGTCATTGCTCATCCAACCTGACATACAAGTACAAACTCCTGGACTAGTACAGTTCCCATTGCTCGAACAGCTTTGGCAAATAGCTAAAGTATTGAAATTCATATGATAAGAATAGAATGATTAAATATTTTTACTTACGCGTGTTACAGTCAGAGCCTTGCCAACCACTATTACAGCTGCATTGGTTCGGTGATACACATTTTCCGTTACTTGAGCATTGTTGACAAATTGCTAAAGTAAAAGAACTTATATCAGTATTGAGAATATTTTCCACGTATTTTCATTTCAAATGAGATGTATACTTACGTGTTGAACAATCAGAACCTTGCCAGCTCGAACTACATGTGCAGACGCCTGGTGCCGTACAATTACCATTAGTAGAACATTGTTGACAAATAGCTGAAGTATAAAGATTCATAGAATAAATAAACTCATGAAATGATTAAGCACTAAAGCATGTTACATACGAAGTGAGCAATCGTTGCCCATCCAACCAGATTTACACGCACAAAGTCCCGGACCAGTGCAATTACCATTGCCTGAACAACTTTGACAAATCGCTAAACAAACAAATTCGTTCAAGCTTTATGTAGTATAGTGACATACGTGATGCACAGTCGGATCCTTGCCAGCCCGAATTACATGTGCAGATGCCTGGCGCCGTACAATTACCGTTGGTGGAACATTGTTGACAAATAGCTAAAATAAAAGATTTGATAGAATAGATAAAATGATAATAAAGGGATTTAGAAAGGGAGCCTTGATATGTAAGCCGACCGCTAAGTACTATTTTAGTTAAATTTTGCTTTTTAGCACATTATTACGTACGGATTGTACAGTCTGAGCCTGTCCAGCCTAAACCACACGTGCAAGTTCCAGGTCTCGTGCAGTTACCATTACTTGAGCATTGTTGACATATAGCTAAAACAAAAAAAATCATAACATAAATAAAATCATAGAATAAATGAAAATATGTGAGATGAGAAACTATGCATGTGTTAAAAGTCATTTTAATTTGCTTTTTTTCTAATTCTACGATTACTACGTACGTTGTGTACAGTCCGTTCCTTGCCAACCCGACTGACAGCTACAGATATCTGGTGCTGTGCAGTTTCCATTACTTGAACAGTGTTCACAAATGGCTAAAATCATGATGCAATTAAGAAAGGATCTTTAGTGCAAGTTTAGCTTTAATAAAACTCGTTACATACGGATTGTACAATCTTCGCCCGTCCAACCAGATTTGCATGTGCAAATTCCTGGACTTGTACAATTACCATTGCCTGAACAATTTTGACAAACAGCTAAAATAAAAGAATTCACACAACAGGTAAAAATTATGAAACGATTGAGAAAGTTTGATTCGCTATTCTCTGTTAGTGGTTAAATATTTTTACTTACGAGTTTTACAGTCAGAGTTCTGCCAGCCCACACTACATTCACAGATCCCTGGTGCTGTACAGTTACCATTACTCGAACATTGTTGGCAAACAGCTGAAAAATAATAATTTTTCGAATTTTGCTTCGTTAAAGATTTAACTTACGGAGTTTGCAATCGATACCCTGCCAGCCTGCATGACACTCGCAGGTACCTGGTGATGTACAATTACCATTACTTGAGCATTGTTGGCAGATAGCTGTAATATAACAAATAATATAATAAAAAAAAGAACTCGAAGAACTAATACGAAATCATAATTTAAAAATCTTTGTGAGTAACAAATGTTTTTAATTTAAGTTTTACTTCGCATGAGTTATTTACGTACGTATTTTACAATCTGAACCTTTCCATTCTGATGAACATATACATATTCCTGACTTCAAACATATACCATCATTTGCACAAGCTGGTGAACAAATGGCTAAAAATTATCAAAATAGTTATTTCACATTTAGTTCGTGAAATAGTTTTTAATTTAAAAATATTGAAGAATAAGATGATGAAAAGTGAGGGCTTATAGAAATAGATGTATCAATAAAATTATTACCGGTAGAAACTTGTTGAAATGAACAGAAGCCCATTTGTATTTGAATATTTTGTCCATCAGTAAATATGATTCCAAAACTCATATTAGTATATAAAGTGTCAATATAATTTTGAACTTTA